CTACTCTCTCTAGCCTTAACTCTATCCATCACCAAGGATTACGTTTGTGCCTTGGTGCTTTTCCTCTTCCCCGTTTCAAGAGCCTCTATACAGAAGCGAATGTTCCATCCTTGTCTGATCGCCGGGATGCCCATTGCCTTCGCTACTATGTACGCTCTCACGATCTACACAATCCTTCCATTTATAGAATGGTCACCGATATTAGTAGACATTCTTATTCGTTCGCCGCCCCTGTTTGCTCCGTCCCTTTTCTCTTCGCCTACATTCACTCTTGTCTTCCCTTCAGTTACCACCTTTATATGTTCATGTAGCATCTCACTTTTCCCTACCCCCCTGGGAAGTTCCAGCTGTTCGGGTCTGCTCTTTCTCACTCCCTTGCTCGAAAGCTCAACTGCCTACGGTGGCTTCCCGCTCTCTTTTTCTTGATCACTTCCACTCCCATTCTCATGCCACCGCTGTGTACACAGATGGCTCTAAGTCTTCAGACGGCGTCGGATTCGCAGCAGTGTTTCCGGACAGCGTCGTGCAGGGACATTTACTATCTTCAGCTAGCACTTTTACTGCTGAACTGTATGCCATTCTTGCAGACTCCCTTAGTGCTCTACAGGCTATACGAAAATTTGATACATCTCATCCCCTAGTTCTCCGTATCCAACTTTGGCTACGCTGTATCTCTACCAAACAAATATTGTTTTTTATTGGGTCCCTGGTCATGTCGACGTACAGGGCAATGAACAGGCAGACACTGCTGCGCGGTCAGCAGTACATGACCTACCAATTTCCTATCGAGGTGTTCCATTTCGGGACTATTTTGCTGCAATAGCTACCCACCTTCGCACCTGTTGGCAACAACGTTGGTCAACTCTGCTCGGTAACAAACTTCATTCTATTAAACCGAACATAGGTTACTGGCCGTCTTCTTGTCATCAGTGCCGAGGTTGGGAGACCACTCTCTCCCCGCCTTCGCATTGGTCACACTCGTTTTAAACTCATGGGTATCTCATGGAGAGGCACCCTTTTCCTCTCTTTTGAGCAGTGTCAAGTTCCAATAATCGATTAGCCACATTCTGTTAGACTGCCCCCCTCTATAAACGAAGCACGCAGAAACTTACCTCCCAAGCCCTTTGTTCTACTACTCTCTTTTTAAACCTTCCTTCTTGCTGATGGACCCTCCTTTAATCCTGACTCTCTCATTGACTTCTTGACACGACTGATTTACTCCACAAACTCTGATGATACTTTTCGCACTCCCCTCAGGCCTTTCTAGTTCAGTCTCTTGCTGCCCTTCACCCTTTCACCATCCACTGCCCCGCTGTTATCCGTAACCTATTACTCATCCATCTCCCTTTTGCCACCTGATGCCCTCGCTTCCTTCCTGCCCTGCAGCGCTGTATAGTCCTTGTGGCTTAGCGCTTCTTTTTGATTATAATAATAATATAGATACATCTGCCACCAGGAAAATCTTGCTTATGAAAGGAATTAATATTACACATCCAAGATTTGGAGCCTAACCACATTGCTAAATAATAGTTTCTAGAAAATATACTTTGGAGTAAGTATTTGCTTATTATTTAACCATGTACTCGTTGAACAAACTTAAATTTTCAATCCAACAAAGCTGCCACTTTTATTAAAATCACTATACATTACTTATTGGCATTCATTACTATGGAAACGAAGCTGCTGCAAGAACACAGAAGGGATGGGGTATGAAAAAGGATAAGGAGGAAAGGGAAGGCAGAAAGAATAGGGGGAAGGGAAAAAAGGCTGAGAACAAATTTCTATAACAGAGCATGTCATTCAACTTGTAGTCTAACAAAACAAATATAGCTGGCAGTATCCTGCTGGAGCAGGATAAAGATTAGACAAGATTCCAAATTATCTTAAAATTTTCTGCCCAAGACCCCTCAAGGAAGGTTCCTTGATGTTGGTGAGGGGCTCTTGATTTAGGGAATTGGGTTGTCTCCAGTTCCCCGAATTAAGCCCTGGAATGCCTTTTCCCCATCCATCCCCCCCCCCCAGGCGCTGTAAAAATCCTCTGGTTTTAGCGCTTTTCCCCTTGATTATAATAATAATAATTCTGCCCAAGAGGGTGCCACCCCCACTCCATAAGAAAATGTTTTTTTTGAGCATAGCCTCACAATCTTGGATAAGGAGCATGGGAAAGATAAAGTTACAATAATTTAAATGTTACCCAAAAAACATAAGAAGAGTAGACATGATCAACAACATTCAATACTGATATTTAATAACTCTCTACTCTCAAATTTCATATTTTTCCATAATCTATATCTATTTTTAGCAAGATCCAAAAATTTAAATTTGGTAATCTACATTTCATACATGCCCCCCCTCAACAGTCATCCCAACCAGAAAAAGGGAAAAAATATATCTACCAAAATCAATTTTTTTACTCCAAAAGCAAAACTACTGTGTGGTGTGTGTTTGGTGTGTGTGTGTGTGTGGGGTGTGTGTGTGGTGTGTGGTGTTGGTGTTGTGTGTGTGTGTGTTTTTGTGTGGTGTGTGTGTGTTGTGTGGTTGTGTGTTGTGTACGACTCACCTAGTTGTACTCACCTAGTTGAGGTTGCGGGGTCGAGTCCGAGCTCCTGGGCCCCCCCTCTTCACTGTGTGTGTGTGTGTTTTGTGTGTGGGGTGTGTGTGTGTGTGGTGTTTTGTGGTGTGTGTTGTGTACATGTGGGGTGTACATGTGTGTGTACGTACTCGCCTAATTGTGGTTGCAGGGGTCAAGACTCGGCTCTTGGCCCTGCCTCTTCACTGGTCGCTACTAGGTCCTCTCTCTCTGCTCCCTGAGCTTTGTCATACCTCATCTTAAAGCTATGCAAGGTTCCTGCCTCCTGTGTACTTGCCTAATTGTGGTTGCAGGGGTCGAGATTCAGCTCCTGGCCCCGCCTCTTCACTGAGCACCACTGGGTCCTCCCTCGCCCTGCTCCATGAGCTTTATCATACCTCATCTTAAAACTGTGTGGTCCCTGCCTCCACTACATCTCTTGCCAAACGATTCCACTTCCTAACAACTCTGTGGCTGAAGAAATACTTCCTAACATCCCTATGACTCATCCGAGTCTTCAGCTTCCAATTGTTACCCCTTGTTTTTGTGTCTCATCTCTGGAACATCCTGTCTGTCCACCTTGTCTATTCCACGCAGTATTTTCTATGTCGTTATCATGTCTCCCCTGACCCTCCTGTCCTCCAGTGTCATTAGACCGATTTCCCTTAACCTTTCTTCATGGGACATTTCCCTTAGCTCTGGAACCAGCCTTGTTGCAAAGCTTTGCACTTTCTCTAATTTCCTGACGTGTTTGACCAGGTGTGGGTTCCAAACTGGTGCTGACGTACGAATGTACGTGTGTGTACTCGCCTAATTGTGCTCACCTAATTGTGGTTGCAGGGGTCGAGACCAACTCCTGGCCCCGCCTCTTCACTGAGTGCTACTAGGTCTCTCTCTCCCTGCTCCATGAGCTTTATCATACCTCATCTTAAAGCTATGTATGGTTCCTGCCTCCACTACCTCACTTGCTAGGCTATTCCACTTCCTGACTACTCTATGACTGAAGAAATACTTCCTAACGTGCGTGTGTACGTGTGTGTGTGTGTGTGTACGTACGTGTGCACGCTCATGTGCATGTGTGTACATTAATATATGAACCCCCCAAATGCCAAAAACAATTCTTACAGAGAAACCGAAATTTTCTTAATACAACTGATATACTGAATAGCTAATGTCTGTAGTTAAATTGCCTTCCTCTCCTTCCAAACTATGGCCTTTTTATTTACCTACAGCACATACTTTCTTGACTTTCACTAATTTTAATCTATTTGTAGCACTATCATTGATCTACTCTTGCTATCGTTTCCCACAAAAAACAGAATTTTGAAGGGAACCCCGTGAAAATGTAATTGCATCCAACAATCTTGTTAAAACTGAAACAGTTCACTAACAATACTTTGAGTCTCTCTAAATTCAAAGTTAAAAGTGAAGGAAATTACTGTAAAATCAGAAAATAAGCTGATGTTATGCAAATTCATATGCTTTTAAGGAAAAAAAAAAACTTAAATTTTGCAAATAAAATTGATAATAAACAATCAAGGGCAGCAATACTTCAAACATTTTCTCACACACATTACTTGGAGTCCTCTATAGTTTAACACTGACTAGCTATATCTAATATGACATCCTATATATAAGGCAGGGAGGTAAATGAAGAAACATTACTTATACCCTCTTCTCGCCTTACACTGACATTCTGATGAGGAAGAACAAATCATTTCTCAAAGAGTGTGCAGCAGAATTTTGCATGCCTGACAATCACTCCAGTGATACTTCCACTTCAAAAATTGTCATATTAGATAATTTTCTATCAATCTTATTCTATTCAAGTAATTAACTGAAAACAGAAGGAGATTGGTAGAATATTCACAAATGTCTTTTGTTAAGAGGCTGGTTGACAATGGAGGGTCTTTGTGTGCTTTAACATAACTTTTAAATGTACCTATTATCTAACACATGGCACATTTTTAAGAAAAAATCTTGAAAAAAAACATAAAATACTAAGTTAACTATTTAACTGCTACTTGGGTAGATCTAGAATCTAATGACTGTTTCTGTAATATTGTCTTTCTCCAATATTCAGTATAATAATCAGCAATGCAGAGAATCATGAAGGTGCACACACACTAGAGCAAGCCCATTTGACTGACCTAAGGAAGTACTGGTTACACTAACGTTGTACCTGACAGAAGGGGAGGACAATTAACAATGGTATCAGTATCACTAGTATCAATTCCAATAAGAACATTCTTTTTTTCCCCTCTCACTTTCATTTAAAGTATTTATGACAAATACTCCACAATTATAAATACTCAGGAACATTATAGTTTAATCAAAAATGTACAGCCAAGCATTACCCAATTCTGAGTGGTATGACCACACCATACTTGCAATGTTAACTAAAAATAAGTATCACTCAAGCAGTAAACACTTAAGAATCAAAAATTTATTTCAGATGAGGAGCTGAAACATTCCTAATTACTTTGCCAACCAATTTGCACTATCAAAAACAATTACTAGATATTTGTCAATTTAAAAAAAAAAAAAAAAAAAAAAATTGTAACATTTTACACCTTTTACGTCATCCTTTACTTGATAAAGCTTTCTAAATACTGGTAAACTATTTCAAATCTAAATTTTACTTTAAAATAAAAATTACAACTCAGTCTATTGTCAGGTGTCAGTGGAGGAGCTCAGAGAATCTTAATACATAAGAACACAGGAATGGAGGAACGCTGCAGCAGGCCTACTGGGTAGGTCCTTCAAAGTGATATTTGGGACAACAGCTGATGAACGAGTATCAAACCATACAACATGAGAGGACACTTGCTTTGCTCTTCCAGTTCTTCAGTGATTGTACTTCCAATCCAATACTTGTCAACCTATTGTTAGTCTGTATTCTATTCTCTAAATTCTGTTCTGAAGTTAGAACATTGCTTCAGCTATTAATATATATTTTCTAAATTTTCTAACTGCAAACAATTATCTTGCTGCTGAATGTGCTCCCTAAAATCTTTCTTTCTAAATGATTAAAATGTTTATTAGTTATTGAAATGCTATCAGCTTACATGTGCCCAACTGGTTTCACACTGAATTATCAACATTCTAGTGAAGTGGCATCAGATGGGCTTGATGGTAAATTTTGTCACTTGAATATAAGAAGTTACTCACTCCTTGTACCTCGCACTTCACCCACTTGTCTTTGCTGTTAAGAAGAAAATACCGTATTAACAATAGTCAATAACAGGGTGTTTTATTTTTCCCCATCATGCACTGAGCGGGACAGGTATAAAAAATACCTGTGCACTCATCACACATACCCATTCTATTATATCTCGGGCCAAAATTTTCTGCTCACAACTTATCCGACCGAGATGATCTTATGACATAGAACTACATCAAGGACCCTGGCTTCAATGACGTAGCTCAATGTGATGGACAGTGAAAGGGTCAACTAATCAATGCCCATCTGCACTTCAGTTTAAAATAAGATCAAACAATGTGCAAAGCATTAAAACTAAGATCAAATAACGTGCAAAGCATGTTTTATATCTTAATATTTAAATACAGGCACAAAGTTTTTAAGTGATACATACTTTATCAAGTTCTTGCTTAGTTTTATCTTCTAATCGACGAATATCTTCCATTGTCATTCCATGCCATCGATCCATCCAGCAAAATACTTGCCTTTAAAAAATTAAGAAAAACTGTTACAAATTTTATGAAAGTAAACTTACTAGAAGTAAGATAGATAAATCTAGAAAAAGAAATGAAAGAGAACTTTGATAAAATTTAAGTTCTGGTGGCCTGGTGGCTAACGCTCTCGCTTCACACGGCGAGGGCCTGGGTTCAATTCCCAGCCAGAGTAGAAACATTGGACGTGTTTCTTTCCACCTGTTGTCTATGTTCCCCATCAGTAAAATGGGTACCTGGGTGTTAGTCGACTGGTGTGGGTCGCATCCCGGGACACTGACCTAATTTGCCCGAAATGCAGAGCATAACAAGGGGAGTTTCTATATAGTAGTATGTCATTGTTGTCAGCTAGGACTGTATACCTTGTACATGTACTTGTAGTAAATAAAGATATTATTATTATTATTAGAAGTCAAGACTTCAATTTCAAAGAAGAAGACAAAGTGCCTAGAATGCCTGCACAAAGCTCTCTCTCCCTTCCCTACCACCCACTCACATGACATCCACAACAACTGCACCCATTACCATTATGTGTGTGTGTACTTGGTTTGCTGCCAAAGGCTCACATCAGTCGAATAACCTCTGCAGCCAATGCTCATCTAGCAAAAATCTAAGTAACCTTCAGGAATCTAAACAGACATGAAAGGCCCTTTATACAACATACATGTATGTCAGGCCTATCTTGGAGCATGTAGCACCAGTATGAAACCCACACCTGAAATGTTAAGGAACTGGAGAAAGTGCAGAAGCATGCAACAAGGCTTGTTCCAGAGCTAAGGGGTATGAGCTATGAAAGGCTAACATAACTGAATCTAATGGCATTCGAGGACAGAGGAAAGACATAACATACAAAATATTCAGAGGAACTGATAGGGTACACAGGGACAGGATGTTTGAGAAGTGAGAAACAGGTACTATAGGATGGACACAGCTGGAAGTTCAAGATAGATCAGTCACAGGGATGTCTCATATTGGTCAGAAGTGTAAATATCTTGAAGTGGTTGAGGCAGGCTCCATACATAGCTTTAAGTGATGGTAAGATAGGGCTAGGAGGCAGTGGATCTGGCAAATGGCAAGTTGAGAGGGAATGGATTGCGGGGGGGGTCAGGAACAGAACCAACACCTGCAACCACAAACTGAAGAGTACAATTAGCAAATGCACATACATACATCATGCACTCCACTGAACTCAGACTATCAACAGTGACTTGTGCCAAGACTGAAACAGTCTACCTGTTGTCAATTCTGAGTCATTACTCTAACAGCTGGATCCTAGATCAGACCTGGCTGATGACTATCAATCCAAGTCTTTGTAAGCAACACACAGTTCAATGTAGGTACCAAAGCTTGGATGATCAGAAATAGATAAACCAACAACTCCTCACTGAAGACAGCTAGGGAGGGTTTTCTTCTTGAGGCAGAGGATTTTGGTTTCATTATGCAAGTTCCCAAATATCCAATATTTCCTGAACCAATCCTTCAAATCCTCATGGCTTTCCCATAAATATACGAGAGAGATTGCTTTTTATAAAATCAAAACCAAGAAGCAGATTCCTTGCCGAAAATCTCTACCGGCAGCATCCAAAACATCCTACAGATTGAAAAATTAGTAATGGAAAACAGTAACAACCACATCATTAACCCTTAAACGGTCCAAACAGATAGACATTCAAATTCGTAGTGCTACAAAAGTAGATCTACTTTTTTACATATTTTCAAATATAACAAAAAAAAATGTAGATAAGGTTTTTTACATGTTTTCAAATGTAAAACAAAAAAGAAGATCTACATTATTTTACATACTTTCAGATGCTGAAAAAACGTATACACCTACCATCCGACTTACGACCTCCTCGACTTACGACCACTTGACTTACGACCGTGTTTTTTTGCCAAATTTCTGGGAAATAAACAACTATTTGTGTTGTACACAGTGTTTATCCTAAACCGTACAGTATAAAATACAGTACTAACAGCATAAAAAGTAAAGTAAAACATGAAATACCTAAATAAAACAATAAAATAAAGTCATTACAAAAATGTGATGTTGATATTCAGTAGTAAAGTTCGACTTACGTCCATTTCGACTTACGACCGGTTTCTCGGAACCGAACTCGGTCATAAGTCGGATGGTAGGTGTATGTACGTTTGGACCATTTAAGGGTTAAAAATGTTTGTGCCAACTGAATTGTGCATATATTTTCAAGCATTAGGTTTAATTAGTTTTCTTTTTTATATTTATATAGCCACCCTACCGCGATGGGAAACGGTCAGTAAAAAAAAAAAAAGTAGATTTTTCCACAAGCAGCAATTATAGTTTCCTTAGCCTTCTAGTTTTAATACATTTCTGAATGTGAGTTTTCATCTTCCAGTTGGACAAGACTAAATGTAGAGAAACTGAAAGGGGTCATCATATACAAATGATTGGCAACCACTGCAGTAATTATATCTATCAGTATTTCTGATGCCTGGTTCCTGTCTAGTATATGACCTCTGCAGTACTTCAAACTCTTCAAATGCAACTTCTTAAGAATTTAAGGATACTTTTATATGACAGACTCCAGTTAGAATTTCATGAATTTTCCTCACCTATGGAAATTTGTGAAAAGTCTACGTTCAACATCTTGAATGAACTTCTCCACACGAGTTTGTAGCCCAAACCATTTGAACTCACAAGTTACAAGCTTGTAACATGTCATCACAGGATCACACTGAAATCAATATAATAAGGAAAGCATTAAATTGGTGTGATTTTCTTAGGAAAATTTCCTCATGTCCTACTATGAGGCATAGATCTGAATCACCCAAATAATCTTTCAAGGTTTAGAAGGCAGAGGTGAGTACATTTATAATAATTTCTGTCATGTTCTGGCTCTACACAGTATTTAATAATCTTCCTTGCAATACTGATATCCTAAAGAATGAGAAAGGGCACTAAAAAATTTACTTTCATCTTTACTGTAATTTACAGTTTTTTATTTAATGAAAATTGAAGTTGCTAAATTTCAAAATTAAAAAATAAGAGATAAATTTAACTGCAAGAAAAAATGTATATAGTGCTACAGCAATAAGTAAAGAATTCACATAATTAAAAGAGTATTAAATACATAAATGGGGAATTCACTTAGTAACAAACCCACAATTTAGAGAGGAAGCTTGTAAGGTGAATACTATTTTCCATAGATGCAATGTTACAACTGGGGAAGGGGAGGGGATTATAACCTAAATATGACCCCAGTTTTATTAATGACTGGAGAGGTATGGTGATACTGACAGTATGTAGATAAAGATGCATATGCACAATGAAGATATTGAGGAAATGTTTCACTACATATCTATCTACACACCAAGTTTATGCTCTGAAACAAAATTATGCTACAGCTATTAGACACCCTATTATGATTTGTTTCAGGCTTCCTAGTGTATTTCTGGAAGCACCTTTACCATTTGTAGAACTTTTCCTCTTATCAGCCATGATTAATGGGTTGTAAAAAAAATAAAATTTCAAAACAGCAAAATTTTCAAAAACTGGACAAGAAACAGCATGACATTGCATTTGTTTGTTTGCACTTTTGTTCACATGTATTCAGTTTTACTCTGAAGGAATTTCTGATGATCAAGTTGACATTCAGATAATGAGCCCAGTATCTAGACTTGGATTCTATCATGAAAGGATTCTTCGAGCAAGGTCCTACTCATACAACAATTAAATCCCTTAATTATTGCTAATATTACCCTTGGTTGTTACTCAACTATCATGACTAAGTGGGGAAGACAAGTTTTCTACCTATGGGATGAAATTTTTTATGAAATTCATTGAAAAAGTACAAGTGTTAAATGTGCTTGTTCACATGACTTATATCATTGTGGCAAGGTATTTCAGGCTGTGCTAACATTATATATTGGGGAGGAAGAGGAGGGGAGAGAGATTAGGGAATGCTGAGTGAAATAGTTTATATGAATTCCTTTTAGATACTACAAGTGTCCACCCTTCAGCTTAATCTATCAGTTTTAAAATTTCCCACAATCATCACTTGCTAGTTCTTTTCCAATTCCATTATCAACCACTGTAAATAAAAACTTTGCCTGTACCTTTTAGATATGCTTTCTCTCTGTTTACAATAATTGCAGCCTATGTTCTCCCTGTGTTGATACCATAAAATCAAAGTTTTTCATATCCTCTTATGATCTAATGTGGTTAATATGTATCCTATTTTCTCATCAGCCAACAATGGCTTTTTTGGTATTTTCATTCATTTTGCATTCCAATTTTGACTCCAGTTATATATCTAAAGGTTATTTTAAAGTTTGCCAGTGTACCATACAAGATTTTAAATGTTTATGAGATGGGAAGGAGTCAGAGACTAGTGCATCAGATTAGAGGGAAGGGTTTTGACTCGAGAGAATACAGATGGTGAGGACCAGCTTAAATCAGACAGCAAGATGACCAATGAAGAAATTTATGTAATGCTAAAGTTGAGGCAGTAGAGGTAAGTGAAATCCCTGTTGAAAGAAATTTAAAGGTTAATTAAAAAAAAATTATGTTGGCTCTGAAAGCGGCTCTGGTAGTACAGTGGACCCCCGCATAACGATTACCTCCGAATGCGACCAATTATGTTAGTGTATTTATGTAAGTGCGTTTGTACGTGTATGTTTGGGGGTCTGAAATGGACTAATCTACTTCACAATATTCCTTATGGGAATAAATTCGGTCAGTACTGGCACCTGAACATACTTATGGAGTGAAAAAATATCGTTAACCGGGGGTCCACTGTATATGTAAAAATGAAACCGGGGTTTAATAATGGAGCTGAGATCAGGGTCACAAGAAGTGGAAAAGCTGTTTATGCCCTACCATGAAATGAGCAGTTTCTATCACTTAAATCATCATCCACACACTCCCCTATTTACACCACCACAACAGTAACCACTTCAGGATTAGGATACTGATGATCCTCAAAAAAAAAATATTTTTACTTGAACCACAACACCAACAGAACTCTACCTCATCCTTTTTATTATCTTAAAGTAAACTGTAAGCCACAGCTCCCTGCACAATAATATATGCCATGGCCTTGGGAACACAGAGTATACTTTCACAAATATCCCACCATACAACGTGCTGAGGAACAAACTATGAATAATGGGAACTCATTCTACAGAATTATACAATAAATTAATTTAATAAAAGGGTGAACAAAGTATGAGCATACGAAATGAACAGTGCAACCTTTTTCCACCACTCAGGGCCTTGTAGAGGCCCTCGACCAGTCTTCTCAGATTTAAACTTGGTTGGGTCTTCATCTGGTTTGTAGTCCGCAGTCTTTACAGGGTCGTTGGATATGTCAATGGGTACTACCTCCCGCAGTCTCAGTTTTTCCCCCGACAGTTCATGTGCCTGCAAGAGTTTTGTTAAAAGTTATTAAAATACAAAGGTTGGCTTCAATACTGCTAACAATTTCCATTTTCTTATTTCTAGAAAATAATACTATATTTATGATACTTCATTAAGACCTTTCCATTACTGATAAGGCGACTCACTCGAAAGTAAAAATAATTATAGAGTATATACCATATATAATTTATATTTTACACTTACACACACACACACACACAAACACACACATATACACACACACAAACACATCCAGCCAGGAGCTGAGTCTCGACCCCTGCAACCACAATTAGGTGAGGCGAGTACACACACACACACGTCATGGTACGTGATGAGGTATCACAGTGGGCACCTGTGACTAGCTGGGCCCCACAGGGGTCGGTCCTAGGACCTGTGCTATTTCTGGTATATGTGAATGACATGATGGAAGGGTTAGACTCAGAAGTGTCCCTGTTTGCAGATGATGTGAAGTTAATGAGGAGAATTAAATCAGATGAGGATCAGGTAGGACTTCAAAGAGACCTGGACAGGCTGGACACCTGGTCCAGCAACTGGCTTCTCGAATTTAACCCTGCCAAATGCGAAGTCATAAAGATCGGGGAAGGGCAAAGAAGACAGCAGACAATATAGGCTAAGTGGCCAAAGACTGCAAACCTCGCTCAAGCAGAAAGATATTGGGGTGAGTATAACACCAAGCACATCTCTGGAAGCACACATCAACCAGATAACTGCTGCAACATATGGGCGCCTGGCAAACCTAGAATAGCGTTCCAAACCCTTAGTAAGGAATCGTTCAAGACACTGTACACCGTGTATGTGAGGCCCATATTGGAGTATGCAGCACCTGTTTGGAACCCACACTTGATCAAGCACGTCAAGAAATTACAGAAAGTGCAAAGGTTTGCGATAAAATTAGTTCCAGAGCTAAGGGGAATGTCCTACGAAGAAAGGTTAAGGGAAATCGGCCTGACGACACTGGAGGACAGGAGGGTTAGGGAAGACATGATAACATACAAAATACAGTGTGGAATAGACAAGGTGGACAGAGACAGGATGTTCCAGAGAGGGGACACAAACAAGGGATCACAATTGGAAGTTGAAGACGCAGACGAGTCAAAGGGATGTTAGGAAGTATTTCTTTCATAGTCAGGAAGTAGAACAGCCTAGCAAGTGAGGTAGTGGAGGCAGGAACCATACATAGCTTTAAGCTGAGGTATGATAAAGCTCATGGAGCAGAAAGAGAGAGGACCTAGTAGCACCCAGTGAAGAGGTGGGGCCAGGAGCTGAGTCTTGACCCCTGCAACCACAATTAGGTGAGTACAATTAGGCATCTTGTACACACACACGTACACACACACACACACACGTACACACAAACACGTACACACACACGTACACACACGTACACACACACGTACACACACACGTACACACACACGTACACACCACACGTACCACACACGTACCACACCACGTACTCACACACGTACTCACACACGTACTCACACACGTACTCACACACGTACTCACACACGTACTCACACACGTACTCACACACGTACTCACACACGTACTCACACACGTACTCACACACGTACTCACACACGTACTCACACACGTACTCACACACGTACTCACACACGTACTCACACACGTACTCACACACGTACTCACACACGTACTCACACACGTACTCACACACGTACTCACACACGTACTCACACACGTACTCACACACGTACTCACACACGTACTCACACACGGGCTTCAGGAGAGCGAGGGAAGGACACACACTGAAAGATGGCAGGCAGAAAGAAAGGTTGAGATGATCATCACAGAAATAGGTGAAGAGGACATGTCTGAGATTGTAAATTTTCAGAGAATAGAGGGGTACTCGAAGGGAAGAAAACGACTGATCAAGCTGATTTTCAGGACAGAAACAGTGCAGAACAGGATCCTCCAAGAGAAGCCACAAGGGGGTGTTCCTAGATAGACTTTCACATTTTGTCCTCTCCTGAGGGAGAGGACAAAAAAGCGAAAGGAGCTAGGAAGAGAGACAAGGACTATCAGCAGAGGACAACCAGAGCAGGACAGAGCAACAAGAGAAAGCACACACACAACCATCCCCAGAACCCCACAACCAATCATGTTATCCCAACACAAACCACAATCCACACCCATAGCTCCCACCCAACACTCGGCTATAGAAGCCCACAGTACACTGCCAGGTCCCCCACCCTCACAGACCCTCCAAAAAACAGTATTGGAGAGGAAACTGAAGGTATGGCACACCAACACTGATGGCATAACAAATATGCAGGAGGAGTGGTATGAAAGAGTCAAAGAGGCATCACAAGACATCATAGCTCTCAAAGAAACCAAGCTCACAGGTATGATAACAGATGCTATCTTTCCAACTGGATATCAGATCCTGAGGAAAGGCAGAGGGAACAGAAGAGGTGGAGGAGTGGCACTGCTGGTTAAAAACCAATGAGATTTTGATGAGCAGGAGAGAGGAGACAGGAGAAGCATGAGATTACATAGTAGGAATGCTTCAGTCTGGAGGTCCCAAGGTGGTAATTGCAGTGACGTATAACCCACCACAGAAAAGCAGGAGGCCAAGGCAAGAGTATGATGAGAGTAATTGAGCGATGGTTGACACGCTGGCTTAAGTGGCCAGAAGGGCTCATGCGAGCAGGGCAAAGCTACTGATCCTGGGTGACTTCAACCACAAGGAAATCGACTGGGAAAACTTGGAGCCACATGGGGGCCAAGATGATGGTGGTGGTACTGGAAAACTTTATGTACCAACATGTAAGGGACACTACCCGAGAGAGAGGAGAGGATGAACCAGCGAGACTGGACCTAGTATTCACCTTGAGTAGTGCAGATATTGAGGACATCATATATGAAAGACCCCTCGGGGCCAGTGGTCATGTAGTTTTAAGATTCGAATACACAGTAGAGTTACAAGTGGAGGGGGAAGCAGGAAGAGCCGGACAAATGAAGCCACACTACAAGAAAGGGTACTACGCAGCAATAAAGAACTTCCTGAACGAGGCTCAGTGGGACAGAGAACTGGCAGGGAAGTCAGTAAATGGGATGATGGAATATGTGACAACAATATGCAAGGAAGCTGAGGAGAGGTTTGTACCCAAGGGTAACAGGAATAATGAAAAAGCCAGGATGAGCCCGTGGTTCGCCCAAAGGTGCAGGGAGGCCAAAACAAAGTGTGCTAGGGAATGGAAGAAATACAGAAGGCAAAGGACCCAGGAGAATAAGGAGAGCAGTTGTAGAGCCAGAAATGAATATGCACAGGTAAGAAGGGAGGCCCAACGTCAGTATGAAAATGACATAGCAGCGAAAGCCAAATCTGACCTGAAGCTGTTGTACAGCCACATCAGGAAGAAAACAGTCAAGGACCAGGTAATCAGGCAAAGGAAGAAAGGAGAGATCATAAGAAATGACCAGGAAGTATGTGAGAAATTCAACACAAGATTCAGAGAAGTGTTCATAGAGGAGACAGAAGGGACTCCAGAAAGATGGAGAGGTGGGGTACATCATGTGCTGGACACAATACATACAACTGAGGATGAAGTGAAGAGGCTGCTGAGCGAGCTAGATGCCTCAAAGGTGATGGGGCCGGATAACATCTCTCCATGGGTCCTGAGAGAGGGAGCAGAAGTGCTATGTGTACTCCTAACAACAATATTCAACACATCTATTGAAACAGGGAGATTACCTGAGATATGGAAGACAGCAAATATAGTCCCAATTTTTAAAAAAGGACACAGACATGAAGCACTAAACTACAGACCAGTGTCACTGACATGTATAGTATGCAAAGTCATGGAGATTATCAGAAGAGTGGTGGAATACCTAGAGAGGAATGAGCTTATCAACAACAGCCAACACAGATTCAGGGACGGGAAATCCTGTGTCACAAACTTACTGGAGTTCTATGACAAGGTGAAAGCAGTAAGACAAGAGAGAGAGAGGGGTGGGTAGATTGTATTTTCTTGGACTATAGGAAGGCGTTTGACACAGTTCCACACAAGAGATTAGTGCAAAAACTGGAGGACCAGGCAGGGATAACAGGGAAGGCACTACAATGGATCAGGGAATACCTGTCAGGAAGACAGCAGCGAGTCATGGTACGTGGCGAGGTGTCAGAGTGGTCGCCTGTGACGAGTGGGGCTCCACAGGAGTCAGTCCTAGGAGCGGTGCTGTTTCTGGCATTTGTGAACGACATGACGGAAGGAATAGACTCTGAAGTGTCCCTGTTTGCAGATGATGTGAAGTTGATGAGGAGAATACAATCAGACGAGGACCAGGCAGAACTACAAAGGAATCTGGACAGACTGCAGGCCTGGTCCAGAAATTGGCTCCTGGAGTGCAACCCCACCAAGTGCAAAGTCACGAAGATTGGGGATGGGCAAAGAAAACCGCAGACAAAGTATGGTCTAGGGGGCCAGAGACTACAAATCTCACTCAAGGAAAAAGATCTTGGGGTGAGCATAACACCAGGCACATCTCCTGAGGCGCACATCAACCAAATAAGTGCTGCAGCATATGGGCGCCTAGCAAACCTAAGAACAGCATTCCGACATCTTAATAAGGAATCATTCAAGACCCTGTACACTGTGTACGTTAGGCCCATATTGAAATATGTGGCACCAATTTGGAACCCACACCTAGCCAAACATGTAAAGAAACTAGAGAAAGTGCAAAGGGTTGCAACAAGACTAGTCCCAGAGCTAAGAGGTATGTCCTACGAGGAGAGGCTAAGGGAAATTGACCTGAGGACACTAGAGGACAGGAGAAATAGGGGTCAACATGATAATATATAAAATACTGAGAGGAATTGACAAAGTGGACAGAGACAATGTTCCAGAGATGGGACACAGTTGAAAGTTGAAGACTCGGATGAATCACAGGGATGTTAGGAAGTACAGTGGACCCCCGCATAATGATCACCTCCGAATGCGACCAATTATGTAAGT